GGGGGGGGGGGGGGGGTGCAAACAGGGTGTATATTTATAATTCCCAATTACTTTTGTTGATTTCTAGATATGATCTTCTATTCGTTTCAAAGGCGACGATCAAATCGTGACAATAATAACTTTCACAATTTCTAATGATGCTTGTATCACATGGTTGGATTTCGGAAGTGCTATTTGGTGGTAGAAACAAAAAAGGTGTGTAAGAAAGTGGGATAGATACTCCTTTTTTTTTCATATGCAGTACAATTATCCATGATAAGCAAAACATTTCAATCCGAATGACTATGAAACCACTTAAATCATTACATATAGAACAAAGATAACATCCATGCATTTGAATTCGCTCGATACTTGCAGTTGAGATTATGTCACGATTAACGCTCTTAAAACATCTTGGATTAAGAAACTTATTAATGATCCAAAGTGAAAGTTTGTGAGAGCCATCACCATTGCAACAAATAACAATTATAATCATCTCTTTTTTTTTTTTTTGTTTTGATCCTCCAACTGCTCTGTTGCAAAAGAGTTATCGGATTGCAAATGATAAAATAAATCACCTCGTACCAACTTTCTCTAAAAAAAACTCTTTTATTCAAACAAATCACTTTTAAAAATGATTCAAATAGGCCCAAAAGAAGTTTTTAAAATTGTAGAAGCAGTTTTTGACTTTTCAAAAAATCATACCAAATGGACCCTTAGTGAATGTTTTCCGTCGTTGTTTTGACTTGAATTTTGATGTTTTCTTGAATAATATTATTCCTTGAAACCATGTTCTTCATTTAGAAGTTACATAATTCTAAACCCTAAAGAGTGTCCAAAACTTTCATCTATATATCTCTTTGGCATTGCCAATTTTGTTATACTCCCACTCACACACCCACACCCACACCCACGTTGTTGGAGAAAAATAATAATATGTATATAGACTATAGTTTAACTCAATGATTAGATTAACAAAATGATAAAATAATAAAACAACAAATAAAGAGAAATAAAGAAATTAAAATTTAGAAAAACCGGTCTTTAGAGACTAGCTTAGAATGATGTTATAAAGCCTTATTGACATCCTTTTGTGCATATATTAATTGTTTAGTCCATGTTCGGTGAAAATTAAAATCTATATTTTAATTTAAGTTAAAATCAATAATTGAATCCAATTACATATTTCATGAGTTTACAACTTTTCAACCATATATCTCATAATCTTTTATCAAAATTTACTAAAAATCTAATTTTAATCCCACCAAACAAGGTTATTGGGTAACAAAACACAGATCATGAATCACCCAGCTGGAGAGCTTGGCTGTCAAAGTTCACGTATTTCGTCTTATAGTGTTTTGTTATCTTCTTGTTACCACCTCAATCACACTTCGCACATGAACATATTGGTATGTAATTACCTAGCTCTTCCCAGATAGTGTTCAATTTGGTGAAATAGACACCAACAGATGATTGACCTTGGGCTAGATTCATCAGGTCGCACCTTAACTGAAATATACGAGGTATGTTTCTTTGTTAAAATCTCTCTTTCAAGTCAATCCATATATTATGTGCCGAATCTGAATATATGAGACTTGCAGAAATTTCTTTAGATACCGAATTGAGGATCCACAAGATGACCATATTATTGCTGCGGATCCAATTATTTAATTGATCATCATCAACATCGGGTTTGGGCAAAGACCCATCCACAAACTCTAGTTTGTTCTTCACTGATAACATAGTTAATATGTTATCATCGGGGAGAGATTGTGACACAAGCACAAGTCCTCAACTCTCTGAGTGATGAATGCAATAAGGACTGGACCCATCAAAAATGGTGGAATTGTTCATAGATGTTGGGTTATTTGTTGCTGTTGATTCCATCACAAATTGTGCAATTAATTGAGTGTTAACAATATATACTCCATTAAGTCTCCATTGAAAATTTCTAAAAATTACAAATAAAAATAGATTTTATTCTTAAAAATACAAATACAAAGTATAAAGTAAAACAGGAAAAAAATGAAGAAGAAGAATGCCATGGATTGGGCCCATTTACATTTATTATCTAGTGGGCTTGTACTAGGTGGGCTAGCCCGAAGCCCAGTTTTGTTTCATATAGGGTTGAAGCTGGAAGAATGGAAATGTGAATTGACGAATTGGCTTGCAACCTGTGTTCTTCCCCCTTTCCTCCCTGTCTTCTCCTCCTTCTTCTCTGCCCTCTTCTTCTGAGTTTCTTCTTCTCCTCTCCTCTTTGCTATCTTAATCTCTCTATCTCCATCTCTTTGTCCTTCTTCGGTCTGGAATTCCTTGTTCTTCTCTTCTCCATGCTGCTGGTTTCTCCTACTGGTATTCTTCTCTTCAGCTCTTTTCCCTGTTTCTTCTTCTCTCTTTTTCTTCTCCTCTTCTTCTGTTGCTTCTCCGTTCTCCCTCCACTGGTCCATTCTCTGCCGGTCCATATCTTCACTTTCACATTTGTCATTTTAATTGTAATCCCCTACATTGTAATAGTAGGTATCAATCTATGAAATATTTCAGATTATGTCTTCAATTTGAGTTATTACAATTTATATCCGGCATATTGAGTTTATAGCTGTTGGTTATTGGTTGCATTTGATTGGTTTTGGTTGAAGTTGAGCTCCAACCATAACAAAGAAGAAGAATCTTACATATTATGG